GCGCAAAGCGCTACATTGACGCCGTCCTCTCGCACATCCCATCAGACCGGATCCATCTCAACCACACCGTGCAGACAATCTCCCCCGACCCATCATCATCTCAACAACACATCCGCCTCACCACCACCAACAACCAAACCCACACCTTCGACCACGTCATCCTCGCCACACACGCTCCCCAAGCCCTCTCCATGATCTCCTCCTCAGCAACCCCCACCGAACGCGCCCTCCTCTCCGCATTCCAAACCAGCCCCAACACCGCAGTCCTCCACTCCGACGAATCCCTCCTCCCCCGCTGCCGCCGCACATGGAGCTCATGGAACTACCTCACCACATCCCAAAACACCCAAGTCTCCCTAACCTACAACATGAACAAACTGCAACACATCCCCTCCTCCCGCTACGGCTCCGTGCTAGTCACTTTAAACCCCCTCCGGGCCCCGGATCCAGATACTGTACAGGGGGTGTATGAGTATGCGCATCCGCTGTATACGCGTGCGGTGGTGGACGCGCAGGAACAGCTGCACAATATCCAGGGGATCAGGGGGGTGAGTTATGCGGGCGCTTGGACGAGGTATGGGTTCCATGAGGATGCGGTTACGAGTGGGCTGCGGGCGGCGGTGGAGGATCTGGGGGCAAGGATTCCGTTTGGGGTGGTTGATAGTACGCATCGGAGGGGAGGGGTGAGGGAGTTGACTTGGGTGGATGGGTTGTTTCGGTTGGTGATGCAGGGGGTTTTGTGGGTTTTGGGGTGCTTTGGTGGAGGACGGAAGAAGCAGGGGAAGGGGAAAGGGGTATGAATTGTTAATTGCAGTGTGTGAAGTTTTTTTTTTTTTTTGTTTTTTTCGGGGCAATTATGTTAGTAACTTTTATATAATCCATGGGTTAGAGGACTGGGGTAGCTTGGGGGGTTTATTTCTAGTTGTTTGGTTGTGGTTATTCCTCTGTTTGAAAGGCTGCAAATATTTGATGTCGTTTCGCTATACTGCGCACTCATTGTGGCGGGTAAGCAAGTGTATGAGGCAATTAATTTTGCCCAACCTTCATGGAAGTTTCCATAGTCTAGTGGTTAGGACGGCGGTCTCATATTCACTTATGACAGTACCTTCAAAAGGTCTGGCAATCCGCAAGCACGAGTTCGATTCTCGTTGGAAGCATTTCTTTTTTTTGTTCTTTTTTCTTTTTCCCTTCTTTGACAATAAGGAAAATGGTTTTTCATTTTTATTTTTCCACCTTTATAAGGTTATTCCTTTATTTGATCTCTAATTGAGCATCGCCTTCATAGACTGTTTCGATTTTGTTAACCGGCCTCGGGATATTTACACTGTCTTCGAAGTCAATTACTATCAACCACCAATTTCTCAGGATCACATCTCCTAGAATCAACTACAGCTGTAGCCCAGAATCAACCCTTCACAACCGTAACATCAACCCCTCCAGCAGGAATCTGGACCTCCCAGCCCCCTCGCGTCTTCTCCGTCCCCCCCTCCACAACGTAACCATCACTAGCCCCTGGATTCTCAACCCAAACCACAGCCGCAGTAGCATTCGCCGGCCCAGGAACAAGACGCAACTCCATCTGCTGAGGATCCGCACTCGCAAGGGAAACCTCCTCAATCCAACCCGCACTCGTAGTGACATAAACCCCCATGGAAGCCACGTAGACCCGACGACGCACCGCATCCCGAGGCTGGACCGTCACCACGCCATCGGACGTTGCGGTGTTACCGCCGTACGCGACGAGCCCGAGATCCGGGTCGTCAACTACATACACTGCGGACCCGAGCATCATCCCGAGAAAGGACGGGCCGTAGTCGCCGGAGTAGTCGTCGCCTTTGAGGGTGTCGGGGAAGGAATGGAAGGCGTGGAACATCGAGCCGTCCTGTCGGATGTTGCTCAGGGGGCCGGTTATTCCGCCGAAGCCGACGCGGAGGAGATGGGTGTCGGTCGGTTGTTGGCGGAATTGGGCGAGGAGAGGGAGTGCGTTGAGGCTGGAGCCGTAGTGGTGGATCATCCGTTCGATTCGTTGGAGTTTGCCGGCGTAGCTGGATGTTGTTAGCGGGTGGTGAATTGGCCAGTAGTATATATTCTTAGTATTGTATCCAAGAGGATCAATCCGACGTACATGAAATCCCAGTAGCGGCGGGCATTTCCATTCCAGCCCCAGTGCGACACTGTCGGCATGAAACCGAGGATGCTATTCACTGTCTTCGTGGCGGTGTTGGTGAGGTCGAAATAACTACCCCATGGATTAGCAGAGATATAGATGGATAGATGCTAGAAGAAGACTGACTTAGCCCAGTAATACACCCCTTCTTGCCCCGTTGAATCCCAAGCCATTTCGCTCCCGAATGGCGCAGTCTGGGAGTCCCACGCATCTGCTCGCAGCTTCATCGCTGCCTCAACAGCCTCAGCCTCCGCGCTCCATCCCTCGCGCTGAAGATCCTGCAGAAGCTCTCCCACCACCGTCTCGCCCATGAGCCCCACGCGCGAGTATCCCACCAGCCCGTTGCCCTGGCCATCCGTCTCGAAGCAGGCGACAGTCGTGTTGTACGCATGAGCCAGATACCAATCCCACGTATGGCTGGTGAGCAGCGACGGATCCTCACGGCCGGCTCGATACAACGCCCAATACGCCCCGATGACGTGGATATAGTCGTAGGCACGATCTGTGGAATACGAATCCGCCTGGTTCCAGGACCACCAGTTCCCCCACTGCAGCGACCCGTCATATTCATAGTCGGGCACCAGGTCCGGCTCGTAATAGAACAGGCTTTTCACCACGTGAGTTCCGTTATCTTGCAGATTTGGCAACAGCACCTGCGAGGCGAACTGCTCTAGTTTCGTCATCTCCGCCGCCGCGGGGAGGCCGTGCTGCTTCATCGCCGTCGCCAGGTAGATCACGCCGCCTTCGTCGCTGAGGCCTGCGATCCACACGCGGGGCTCTTGCAGCACGATCGCCTCGGTGGAAGCATCGTAGGACATAATCGACGGCGCGCGCCCGAATGGGTCGGTCTCGTCGGTGTACCACATTGAGCTTGTGGAAAACTCCCCCAGCTGGGCAATAGCGTCCGGGGCCGAGGTTGTGATGAAATAGTGCACGCTCTGCGTCTTCCCATCGGCGTAGCTGATATCGACCCTCGTGCGTCCCCACGAAGATCCCGTCGGGGTCAGAGATACCATGTTCCCATTTTCGACGATCTCAAAGGCATCTTCCTGGCTCACGATATCGGAGACGTTCGCCGAGTGAGAAATCGCCAGCCGCACCGTCAGGTCTTCGGGGACAATGTACCCGGTCCCGATTGTGAGGGGGGTTCCTGTAGAGCGGACAGCGTCTTGGATCCCTCGCACACCATCCGCCACCAGAGAGAAGCGGAGCCCGACGGTGGTCGACTCGCCGGCTTTCAGGGTGCGGGAGGTCGCCGTGTTCCAGGGTGTTGCGGCGGCCCACTCGTTCTGCGCGTACGCTTCCGAATGGACCTGCCATTCGTAGAAGCCCTCGAAGGTTTGGCTCTGGTATGCTGTGGCGGCGTCGATGGGTTCGTCGAGGTTGCGCCACGCCTCGAAGGGCGTGCTTGTATTGACCAAGGGGGTGACGATCAGTGCAGCCCCGGTGCCGGACGTAGGTACAACCTGTAAGTACCCGGCGTCCAGGCCGATGTGTGGATCGGTCAGGGAGCAATGCGCGGCCATGTCTTCGGCGGTGCGGTTGGTGAAGATGCTATTGAACTCGGTCGGGAAGCCCAGACTGCCGATCTCCAGGTCCTCCTCGCCGGTGTTGGTGATCTCGAAGGACAGTCCAAGGTCCCCGCTGACTCCGACCCAGCTGCGGGTGATTTGGAGTGGGGTACTGTCGCTGGACAGGGTCGGGGCCATGTCTGAGGCTGCAAGGACACCAGACTCGGTCGTAGCCTCGGTGACTGGCTGTCGGCTCTGGGCGGAGTCGATGGCGGTCCAGTCGGTCGTCCCGGAGGCGCGGTAGCGGAGGGTGATGTCCCCATTGTGATATTGGCCATTCGCTGCACGGAATGGAAGATAGTCGAAGGGGAGGAAGTCAAACGACTCTCCGGCGGGCTTCAGAGAGACCAGCACTTGGGAGTCTTTTGCAAGCTCCAGGTCGAAATTGGCAGTGGACAGGGACACATATCCATTGTCGAGGCCCAGATTGTCGGTCTGGGCCTTGACATGGGTCACTAGGGCGCAGACAAGAGGCAGGCTCCACCAGTTCATCTTTGCGCGATCGTGAGGAAATGTGGGTTGCGATCAGTTCTTCATGCGGAGATATATATATGACTGCGGAGACTGGGGGACTCCGGCCCTTGTCAGCCCATGGGAGGGTAGAAAGCGCCCATCGGGCTATCGGGGCCTTCAGACGCTGATCACTTAAAGGAGGATACATACGTGTGGAGGAATATATGTCCCGGTGGAGGTTTCCGGAGAAATGGCCATGAATCCTCCGTTTATAGATTATGCGGGAAAATGCCAATACAGGGATTGTGAGACACCATGGAAAGTATAGATGGATGCTACGGTGGCTACTATACTATCATTAGAGAATGAGCAACCAATCAAGCGTTTCCATAGTCTAGTGGTTAGGACGGCGGTCTCATATTCACTTATGACAGTACCTTCAAAAGGTCTGGTAATCCGCAAGCACGAGTTCGATTCTCGTTGGAAGCATTTTTTTGGGCCTTCTACATATTTTGCAGATCCACTTTATTATTGCATGCCAACTCCATTTTTCTAATATCAGTCAACTAACCCAGCATTCCATAAATCACACAACCCTACCAAAGTGCTGCCCTCTCTATCTTGCTGCTGATATGATGGCCTCCCAAAGACACTCAGTAGTATAATATCATACAACCTAGGCCAAAGCATGGAGAAAGAAAAAAGCTTTACAAAAACAACGAACTTATGCTGATCCACTGGTAAGGTAACACCGAGCGGCGCTACTTTTTTTTGGTCCACATGTTCGGTTGATGTTTGAAAAAAAGAAATGCTTCCAACGAGAATCGAACTCGTGCTTGCGGATTACCAGACCTTTTGAAGGTACTGTCATAAGTGAATATGAGACCGCCGTCCTAACCACTAGACTATGGAAACAGCTGATGTTTGTCATCTTGCACTATGGCAACATAACCAAGGGCATGCCGGTCTAGTATGGTCAGGTTCGAAACCACACACAACACTTGAGCATCAACATCAAACCCATATGATATTTCTACGTTATTGGACAATTCAAGAAAAGGAACTCAGTGGCATTCTTCAACGGGATTCTCTCAACAAGAGTAATAAACCATTGGACGGAAACATTCCCAGTAACTGCGAGTAAACTACTTGGATACCATTCAGCCATCACGTAGACCAGTCTCAATTACGCTTAATCGATCACCCGATGCAGTCCATATTTTCAGGATCTCCAGCGGAGGCGTTACAGTCGCCAACAATTCCTCCCATTCTGTCTTTGTTCGCTGCTTTCCATTCAGCAAAAACATCATCCTGAGATCCAGACCTATATTATCCGAGCTCTCATTAGTGTCCCGCATCACAATCTCACCGATCAGAAGACGCGACTGTGCGTTCATGACAACGGCAGTATTCGAAAGAATTTGTCGAGCTGACTTGTCCGGCCAGTCATGAAGCACACGTCGCAAGTAGTATATATTGGCTCCTTGGGAAGATGTCAACAAAAGTTTCAGACTCCCTGCATGATTGAGAAGATAGGAAATAGAAGCCAAAAAGCAGTCACTAACCTTTTACCGGCTGCTCCGTAAAGAAGTTATACTCCAAAGGTCTGATCCTTTTGTCCACGGTGGCTGGGAATTTGGCTAAAGTCTCAGGTAAATCCTCTAGAATCAGTTCACATTCCAGGTCCGGCAAGTCACTAGCAAATCGCTGCAGATCAACGCCTTGGTTTCCGCCGATGTCAACAATGACTGGCTTCGAAGAGCGACTGAGCTGGTCGCTGATTCCGCCATACTTTACGTGCCATGGCACTCCAAAGGCCGTATTGTTCATCGTCATGGAACAGTCGAAATTGGTCTTCAATTCCGTGTCGGTCTTCATCGTTTCCCAGATTGTCTCACCCAAAGCGTAGTCCCATAATGGAGGAATCTCTTCAAGGTTACAGGGTTTGCATTTGTCGATGTATTCTCCTAGCCGATTCGCAATGCGGTACATAGCCTCGCCTCTGATAGACACAATTGACGAATATCAGCACAACAACATGTTACAACTCTGTTCATAGCACAAAATACCGGGATGACCTACCCAAAGAGAAGCGCCCTGTTTGCGAGCTCATTTGACTGATACATGGTGTTCGCATTGGCTACATAGGTTTGGTAGCCTGTTTCGTCCACGAATCCCAAGGCAGCCACCATTCGCATGATCCGTGCTTTGGGGAAGAAGAAAAAAAAAAGGTCAGCATTCTCGCTAGCTATATCATGGGTTCTATACACACCCGTAAAGGAAACATCATATCCTGTGCTCTTGGATAGATCGGAAGAAGTCATGGACTTGTCTGGGCGTTTGGCAAGGGCCTGCAGGAGCCCCATTTTAATCGCCACATGAACGGAGAAATTTTCGACGAGCTTTGCGCATGGTTCAGGAATCAGCAACAGGTCACCAAAAATGCCAATATTCATATGTAGGAGGAGTAGTAGTAGTTACTTTTGACTGTGTGTGTCTTGTGAAAGGAGCTGGCGGCTGGATCGCCCGACGCAGTTTTTCCATCGCTTGCTGAATCTGGTCATGTGTGCCTAGTTCTGTAGGATCGTAAGATGCGACGGCATCTTGAATGTCTGTCGCCAGCTGTTTCAATTGATCTCGATCGGCCGTAGTGGCTATCGGATGCTTTGCTGGATTCGAACGAGAATCGTGGCAGAGGATGGACGCTGACTCCATAGCTTGATCTGATTGATATAGTGCGAGGACTGTTACACCGTGATGCTAGTGTGTGGCATTTTGGAAGGTATCAGGGTCGTACTTATAATGTCGTGTGTCTACTGATTAGAGCAATTGTGTTCCACGGACAAGCGGTGAGACATGACATGACGGGGCTCACGCAAAGTTGTCGTCTGACCCCCTTGCATGTCCGAAATAAACCTTCAAAGTGTATATCCAGTGAAGGTATTGTTTAGCGAAGGATGAGCTCGTACGGTTATACATCCATCATATAATCCTACAATATCGGGGAAACGGCAAAATGAAGATAATAGAAGGAGGATTTAGAAGCAATTCTCTGTATATTTGGTCTGTCTGTCTCAAGAGAAACGTCCTAGGTGATCTTCAGAAACTTAAGCAAGGATTAGGTACCAATGCCTAGTAGGCGCCATTTCGTGCTTCCCATGCAGGTTGAGGGGCTGGATCTGGCTTCCGGTATGCGGACAGGATGTGAGCTGTCGCCGTCAGCTCCAGCGAATCAACGCGAGCACCATCACCGTCAAATGCCCACAGAGTTAACGCAAGATGATTCAGTCCATTGTGGTTGAGAATACCCTCGGGGACGGGAAAATGAGTTTGTGGACCGAGTGCGTTGACTAAAGGAATTAATTATTAATATTCAGATCACCGACTGATATCACATGACCATTAACTGATAGACAACTTACCATATTTAGCAAACTGATATCCGTTCACAAAGAGCTGGCATCGGTAATTGCGCCCCGACGAGGAGGCTGAGGACGAGTGCGTCTGGTTAAAAACAAAGCTCAAGGGTATATCATAGCCAGTTGGTAAATCCAGCGTAAATGACGTTGCGTAGAAGCCAACTCCGGCCTTCGAAATCCCGTCACTGATAGGGTTCGAAACAGCCCAGTTGGAAGTCGGAGGGTGTGGGAGGTGATATCCCTGTCGTTCTGCATACAAGGCACCCTCATTGAGTGGACCACGCGCGAGATCGTGATACTGCTCTCCTCCAAAGTTTCCTGTCATACGCCACGAGATGTCGGAAGGCGAATGGTGCGATACTGCGTAGTCGAGAATACCCCGAGGAAATTTTATTGCGTCAGTGCCCGGTGCTTCCTCGTCTTGTCCCATGTGATCGATTAAGACTGTCAGCACATATGGGGTGTCGGATTGAAGCTTCTTGGGGATGGGGATGTCGTGCGAGTATGTCATATTGTGGCCGCTCCCAACCCAAGAGCCCAGAAAGGTTTCGTTCAGCCAAACAGAGTGGCCAAATCCCACGCCACCAGATATGTTAAGAGAGACGAGGGATTCCTGGCCATTGGCTGCAAAATGGCCTCGATAAATAAGGGACCCTCCATGATACCCATAGTCATCAGCATATAGGCAAGTGGGAGTCGTAGGTTTTCGGGTGTTGTTCGTGAAAGTCCGGTCTAGAAGGGTCCATTGGCTGTCATCATAGCCTGCCTGAATCTCCGGAAGGGTATCAATGTACTTCCATTCCAACTTGGTTAGTGACGGAATGGAGACAGAAGGTGGCGACTTGTAACGGATCGTTGCCGTGAGCTTGCCAATTGCGGATCGGGAGGTTTTGACCGGCTCTCCATTGAATAAAATGCCTCGTAGATGCTCGTTTGGCGTTGATATGACCTCAAGAGTGCTTGTTGCATTTACGTCTCCAGTCAATATAAGATCATTATTCCGGATCGACGCACTTCGGAGGAGATAGCCTCCCCTCACGATAATCAAATCTTTGGATGGCGAGCTGTAGTTTGCGATGGGTGCTGGAGCCGGAACTTCGAGGGCCCAGTGCTGGTAGGCGTCATTTCGCCAGAGAAGATGAACCTCTAACGAGCCAACCTTGACGACACGGCGGGATGGGGACACACGCCACTGTATCACCCAGCCAAAGGGCTCGTGTCTTTCAATCTTGACTCCAGCCCCTCCCAATACAGTCGGCTTCGGCAATTTGCCCCCCAATGCAAATTCGTGCAGTTCTCCATCTCCCCCATATAATATTAGGGTTCGTTGATTTCCAGCGCCACGTGCCCATGAGAAGATCTCGGCACTAGAGTACAGGAGATTCAACCCCCCAACCTCATAGTCAGTGACATGAATCTTGGAATCCCGTCCATTCAATGACAGACTGCCACCGAGCTGAGGAATTGTGGCATTTCCAACACTTGTTGGAACTTGAAGACGGTATTTAGCACTTCCAGTGTAGGTGAAGTCAGCGTGTCTAACGAGATAGAAATTAGTCTCGGTGCCATTGCCTAGCAGCGGAGTCACGGCGATCTTTTCATTTCCAGTGTAGGAACCGTTGACTCCAAGTCCCGGGGTCGCAGTAAGATACGCTGGGGAAACCTTGAGGAAGTTGGCTTGCAGCTTCTCCTCGCTGTACTTCTCACGCCATATCTGACGATCCTCAGTAATTGCAGCGCCATAATCATAGGAAGTGTAGCCCCCGTGGTAGCCAAGATTGCCCCAATTAGTGCCGCCATATGTCTATTCCATATATTAGCCCCGAGAAAACAAAGAACCCCCCACCAAATCAACCATTCAGGGAGACAAACCATATATATGTTAAACAGCTTGACACCAAAGCCGTAGTTATTCTTGTTGACCACCCGGACGGCTTCGTTATTAACCAAGACAGCACACCGGTCTTCAGTGACTCCCTCCCTAGATGGCGTCTCCCAATTAGAATCCTACACAATCGAATGCAGCGAGGTATATTTTATATTTACCATCCTCCTCCTGACCCCCCTTGGAATTCCATGATTGCAAAAGGCGTCGTCGGGCTGTTGTTCCGGTGTGTCAATTGCCAATTCCGAGGGAACCGATACGTTGGCCAAAAGTAAGGATTTCCACCTGGAGCAACACAGAGTAAGCGAACGGCACAGAAAAATTTCATATGGGGATCGGTAAGCCTCGTACAGTCATATCGCATTGGATACGCATCAATAGCGTAGATATCCACTTCACCCAGTCCAGTGCCGGGGGCGAAATATCCCAAGTCGAAATTATCGTTCACTGCCAGCGGCACCACCACACCGGCGTCGCGAAGCTGCTCTGCCGCATGAGCCATCACCTCCCGATTCATCTGGGTGGGAAATTCCTCGGCCGCGACCCCCGGCCACGAGCTGTATTCATTCTCGGGCTGGGCCATGATCACCGGCCCGCCATTGGTGATCTGA